TCCTGCAGATCTGAATCCTCTCTCTCTGTTCCAGATGTTGATGAGTGTGTGAATACATCTGTGTGTGGAGAACACGCCTTCTGTCAGAACCTGCCGGGCTCGTATCAGTGTGTGTGTGACCAAGGATTCACCTCCACCTCCGACGGGAAGAACTGCCAGGGTACGTGAACTTTCTCTACTTTAAAGAGTCCTCTCCTGCTGATGTTTAGGTGTATATCAGTATGTAGTGTCTCTACTTTAAAGAGTCCTCTCCTGCTGATGTTCAGGTGTATATCAGTATGTAGTGTCTCTACTTTAAAGAGTCCTCTCCTGCTGATGTTCAGGTGTATATCAGTATGTAGTTGTCTCTACTTTAAAGAGTCCTCTCCTGCTGATGTTCAGGTGTATATCAGTATGTAGTGTCTCTACTTTAAACAGTCCTCTCCTGCTGATGTTCAGGTGTATATCAGTATGTAGTGTCTCTACTTTAAAGAGTCCTCTCCTGCTGATGTTCAGGTGTATATCAGTATGTAGTGTCTCTACTTTAAAGAGTCCTCTCCTGCTGATGTTCAGGTGTATATCAGTATGTCGTGTCTCTACTTTAAAGAGTCCTCTCCTGCTGATGTTCAGGTGTATATCAGTATGTCGTGTCTCTACTTTAAAGAGTCCTCTCCTGCTGATGTTCAGGTTGTATATCAGTATGTAGTGTCTACCTTTAAAGAGTCCTCTCCTGCTGATGTTCAGGTGTATATCAGTATGTAGTGTCTCTACTTTAAAGAGTCCTCTTCCTGCTGATATTCAGGTGTATATCAGTATGTAGTTGTCTCTACTTTAAAGACTCCTCTCCTGCTGATGTTCAGGTGTATAATCAGTATGTAGTGTCTCTACTTTAAAGAGTCCTCTCCTGCTGATGTTCAGGTGTATATCAGTATGTAGTGTCTCTACTTTAAAGAGTCCTCTCCTGCTGATGTTCAGGTGTATATCAGTATGTAGTGTCTCTACCTTTAAAGAGTCCTCTCCTGCTGATGTTCAGGTTTGTATATCAGTAGTAGTGTCCTCTAATTTAAAGAGTCCTCTCCTGCTGATGTTCAGGTGTATACAGTACGTAGTAGTGTCTCTACTTTAAAGAGTCCCTCTCCTGCTGATGTTTCAGGTGTATATCAGTATGTAGTGTCTCTTACTTTAAAGAGTCCCTCTCTGCTGATGTTCAGGTGTATATCAGTATGTAGTGTCTCTACTTTAAAGGAGTCCTCTCCTGCCTGATGTTCAGGTGTATATCAGTATGTAGTGTCTCTACTTTAAAGAGTCCTCTCCTGCTGATGTTCAGGTGTATATCAGTATGTAGTGTCTCTACTTTAAAGAGTCCCTCTCCTGCTGATGTTCAGGTGTATATCAGTATGTAGTGTCTCTACTTTAAAGAGTCCTCTCCTGCTGATGTTCAGGTGTATATCAGTATGTAGTGTCTCTACTTTAAAGAGTCCCTCTCCCTCTTCCTCCCAGATGTGGACGAGTGTGTGTTTCTTCCCGGTGTGTGCGGTTCTGCTCGTTGTGAGAACGTTGAGGGGTCCTTCATGTGTGAATGTGACCAACTGGGTCACGAGTTTGATACCGGCAGCAGGAAGTGCGTCAACACGGCTCCACAAGGTACGCAAAATAATATAATACCCACATCTCAGATTATAAGAGCCGTTCTACATGTGTCGGCCAAAGGACTAAATCCCACAGGATACAGAAACACTTTAAGGGTTAAACTCGTGATATATAACCTGTAAAAATGTCCCTCTTTTTCCCGCAGGAGAGAGCGTCTCCTCCTCCTCCTCCTCCTCCTCCTCCTCCTCCTCTTCCTCCCCCTCCTCTTCCTCCCCCTCCCCTTCCTCCCCCTCACCCCCCCTCCCTGCTGCTGGTCCAGGTGAGCTCAGAGAGTGTTACTATAACCTGGCAGAGTCTGGTACCTGCAGCCTGCTGGTCTCTAACAGCAGCCATCAGGAGTGCTGCTGCACCGTGGGGGGTGGCTGGGGGCTGGGCTGCCAGTACACCACCTGCCCACACACACACTCAGGTGAGACACACACACACACACACACACACACACACACACACACTCAGGTGAGACACACACACACACACACAGTAACTCACCAGTTAGTTACTTAGTTAGTCAGTTAATCCGTTAGTAAGTAAGTTAGTTAGTTAATCAGTTAGTTAGTTAGTTAGTTAGTCAGTCAGTCAGTTAGTCATTTAGTTAGTCAGTTAGTCAGTTAGTTAGTTAGTCAGTTAGTCAGTTAGTTAGTTAGTTAGTTAGTTAGTTAGTTAGTCAGTTAGTCAGTTAGTCAGTTAGTTAGTCAGTTAGTTAGTTAGTTAGTTAGTCAGTTAGTCAGTTAGTCAGTTAGTCAGTTAGTTAGTCAGTTAGTCAGTTAGTTAGTCAGTTAGTCAGGTAGTTAGTTAGTTAGTTCGTCAGTTAGTTAGTTAGTTAGTTAGTCAGTTAGTTAGTTAGTTAGTTAGTCAGTTAGTCAGTTAGTCAGTTAGTTAGTTAGTCAGTTAGTCAGTTAGTCAGTTAGTTAGTTAGTCAGTTAGTTAGTTTGTCAGTTAGTCAGTTAGTTAGTTAGTCAGTTAGTTAGTCAGTCAGTTAGTTAGTCAGTTAGTTAGTCAGTTAGTTAGTTAGTCAGTTAGTTAGTTAGTCAGTCAGTTAGTCAGTTAGTTAGTTAGTTTGTCAGTTAGTTAGTTAGTTTGTCAGTTAGTTAGTTAGTTAGTTTGTCAGTTAGTTAGTTAGTTAGTTAGTCAGTTAGTCAGTTAGTCAGTAAGTTAGTTAGTTAGTTAGTCAGTTAGTCAGTTAGTCAGTTAGTTAGCTAGTTAGTTAGTTTGTCAGTTTGTCAGTTAGTTAGTTAGTTAGTTAGTTAGTTAGTTAGTTAGTTAGTTTGTCAGTTAGTTAGTTAGTTAGTTTGTCAGTTAGTTAGTTAGTTTGTCAGTTAGTTAGTTAGTTTGTCAGTTAGTTAGTTAGTTAGTTTGTCAGTTAGTTAGTTAGTTAGTTAGTTAGTTAGTTAGTTAGTCATTTAGTCAGTTAGTTAGTTAGTTAGTCAGTTAGTCAGTTAATCAGTTAGTAAGTTAGTTAGTTAATCAGTTAGTTGGTTAGTTAGTTAGTTAGTTAGTCAGTTAGTTAGTTAGTTAGTTAGTTAGTTAGTTAGTTAGTTAGTTAGTTAGTTAGTTAGTCAGTTAGTCAGTTAATCAGTTAGTAAGTAAGTTATTTAGTTAATCAGTTAGTTAGTTAGTTAGTTAGTCAGTTAATCAGTTATTCAGTTTGTCAATTAGTTAGTTTGTCAGTTAGTTAGTTAGTCAGTTAGTTAGTCTTCTAGTCTGGTAGTTAGTTAGTCAGTCAGTTAGTTATTCAGTTAGTTAGTCAGTTAGTTAGTTAGTTAGTTAGTTAGTTAGTTAGTCAGTTAGTTAGTTAGTTAGTTAGTTAGTTAGTTAGTCAGTTAATCAGTTAGTAAGTAAGTTAGTTAGTTAATCAGTTAGTTGGTTAGTTAATCAGTTAGTTAGTCAGTTAGTTAGTTAGTTAGTTAGTCAGTCAGTTAGTCAGTTAATCAGTTAGTAAGTAAGTTAGTTAGTTAATCAGTTAGTTGGTTAGTTAGTTAGTTAGTCAGTTATTTAGTTAGTTAGTTTGTCAGTTAGTTAGTTAGTCAGTTAGTTAGTCTTCTAGTCTGGTAGTTAGTTAGTCAGTCAGTTAGTTATTCAGTTAGTTAGTTAGTTAGTTAGTTAGTTAGTTAGTTAGTCAGTTAGTTAGTTAGTTAGTTAGTTAGTTAGTTAGTTAGTTAGTCAGTTAATCAGTTAGTAAGTAAGTTAGTTAGTTAATCAGTTAGTTGGTTAGTTAGTTAGTTAGTTAGTTAGTTAGTTAGTTAGTTAGTTAGTCAGTTAATCAGTTATTCAGTTTGTCAATTTGTTTGTTTGTCAGTTAGTTAGTTAGTTAGTTAGTCAGTTAGTTAGTCTTCTAGTCTGGTAGTTAGTTAGTCAGTCAGTTAGTTATTTAGTTAGTTAGTGTACATTTGCAGCTGTCCTCTTGTTAATAGTTGTGTATTTTAAAGTGTCTCTGTGTTTCTTCGCAGACGACTTCCTGTCTCTGTGTCCCAGCGGGAGAGGATACATCACTACAGGACCGGGAGCCTTCAGCTACACAGGTACACACACACACACACACACACACACACACACACACACACACACACACACAGATGTATATTGTATGTATAGGCAATAATGATGTGTTTCCTCTGCCAGATGTGGACGAGTGTAAGCGTTTCCACCCGGAGGTTTGTAAGAACGGAGTGTGTGTGAACAACATCCCCGGATACAACTGCTACTGCTCCAGTGGATACGTTTACAACAGCACGCTGCTGGAGTGTGTCGGTACGCACAGACACACAGTTTTCCTAATATTATCTTTGATATTTTATAAAAATGTGTCTGACATTACATCAATATTTCTGGGGATATTTTATTTTAGTTCAGTAGAATTATCGACTGATGTTCAATGTGAATTTTATGCCTAATACTTTTTAAAATAAAGAAGAGTGAATATTATGTGAATATCTGTGTGTATTATCTTAATGTTAATTTGGAATCTGTCTGTCTGTCTGTTTGTCTGTCTGACTGTCTGTCTGTCTGTCTGTCTGTCTGTGTGTGTGTGTGTGTGTGTGTGTGTGTGTGTGTGTGTGTGTGTGTGTGTGTGTGTGTGTGTGTGTGTGTGTGTGTGTCAGATCACGATGAGTGTGAGGAGGAGAGCTGTGTTGGAGGACTGTGTGTGAACACGGTAGGCTCGTATTACTGCAGCTGTCCTCATCCTCTGCTGCTGGACGACACGCAGAGGAACTGTGTCAACTCCTCTCACCTCCAAACAGGTGAGACTCACTCTTCCTCCTCCTCTTCCTCCTGCTCCTCTTCTTCCTCCTCTTCCTCTTCCTCTTCACACCTCCCAACAGGTAACATTTACTCCTCCTTTTTCTCTTCCTCCTCTTCCTCATTCCAGCCCCACACAATTATATTATTTCACATTTTACTATAGTTTGACTAATATTTAATGTGTGTGTGTGTGTGTGTGTGTGTGTGTGTGTGTGTGTGTGTGTGTGTGTGTGTGTGTGTGTGTGTGTGTGTGTGTGTGTGTGTGTGTGTGTGTGTGTGTGTGTGTGTGTCTCTCTCTCTCCAGATGAGTCTCTCTCTCTCTGCTGGCAGCAAGTGACAGCTGACCTGGTGTGTCAGAGCCCCCTGCTGGGCGCTCAGCTCCCGTTCTCTGACTGCTGCTGTCTGTACGGACAGGGCTGGGGCATGGAGTGCGCCCTCTGCCCCCCCCACCGACTCCGGTCTGTACACACACTCTGTTTCACTCCTTTATTAGTTTTTAATGTGTGTGTTTCAATCAGGAACAACACACAAAAATTACGATCTAATTTTATCTAGTTAACTGACTAACTAACTAACTAACGACCTACCTACCTACCTGACCGACTAACTAACTCACTGACTAACTAATTAACCAACTAACTGACTAACTAACTAACTGACTTACTCACTGACCAACTAACTAACTAACTAACTAACTAACTGACTAACTAACTCACTGACTAACTAACTCACTAACTAACTGACTAACTCACTGACTAACTAACTCACTGACTAACTAACTCACTGACTAACTAACTAACTGACTCACTGACTAACTCACTGACTAACTAACTCACTAACTAACTGACTAACTCACTGACTAACTAACTAACTAACCAACTAACTAACTCACTCACTAACTAACTAACGCTGCTTAACCTTGCAAGTTCTGCACAAGCTCCTCCAATAACCCTAAAACAATTCCCAAGTTCCCTCAAGTTTTAAAATGTCACCTGCTTTACAGATTTCACTGAATTTACGTCACGTGACTGTCGCTCTCTGTCCAATCGTTATAGGCTTCACTCTGAAAATTGTAGAAAGTAGTGTTTTGAACAGAATCTGGTTTGTTCTAATACATTTGTTTTGGGGTAACCTTTTATAGACATGCTAATTATGAAATATGAATCCTTTGAGCTTACATTTGTTTTTTTTCTTCCTGATGGAAGTGTTGGTCACACATGATGCGTTCAAGGACTGTCGTAAAGTTCAGAGTCTGATATTAATTTCAGTTTTTACAGTTTCTGGCGAACACTTGTTGTGTATTTTTGGTGATTTATTTTGGGGAATTGAAAAGAAAGATGACTCAAAATAATGAACATAATGATTCAATTAGGGCGGAAAATGGACGAGGTGCAAAACTATCCTTGTAACTTTCTCTAATCGTGTATTACTTTTCTTTTGGTGAACAATTAGGATCGTTTTTGATGGATGTTGTGCGTGTGTTGGCCCTGGAGTGATGAAGTCTAATATGTGGATTAATTATATATAATAATAATAATTTCTGTGTGTGTGCAGAGGACTACGCCGCTTTGTGCAGTTCGTTCTTCCCGGCGTTCCCGGAGAGTTTCCCAGACTCCGAAACAGAGACAGGAAGAGGAGGTGGAGGAGGAGGAGGAGGAGGAGGTACTGAAATATTAATAATAATTTTAGTATTTTGTTTTCTTTTTCGTCTTTTAAAAATTTTATTTTTATTTTTCCTAATCTCCTTGTTTCCTTTCCTTTTTCCTTCCATCTCCTTGTCACCTTCCCTTGTTTTCACCTCCTCTCCCCCCCCCCCCAGCTCCTCCTTACTTCCCCCCCTACAGTCCTGACCCCCCTGAGTACGAGGATTTCTCCCCAGCAGGGGGCAGCAGAGGACGGAACTCCTTCAGCCTGCCGGAGGGGGGGGGCTACCCCCGGCAGCCCGATTACAGGTGAAATTAATTTAAAGGTCTCTTATTATACAATTAATAGGCATATATTTTAAAGGTCACCTATCATGCTATTTGTAGGCAATAGCATAGGTCTCAGATATATAAAAATAAATAAAAAACATGTCTATGAAGTGTTTTGCTCAAAATACCAAACAGATCACCCATTCTAGCCATGCCTCATATCCCTCTATTTCACTTCCTGTTTTCAAAAGTGCTGATTTGGGGTATAAAGCTTAAAAAAAAAGAAATTGATAATAAAAAAGGAGGGGTCTGAGCTCATGCGGGACCCGGCAGCTACTGTCTAAACTAAATGCTGCCGTGATGAAACACCATATCATGGATTATCAAGGATTGTTTCTGAAACAGTATGGAGCTCAAAGGCTTTCTCTCTTGCCGGTTATACCACAAGGTGAGTTCCTTTTTATTTCCTGCTTCTTCACACACATGCTCTCCAGTACAGGTTAGCTCTGAGTGTTAGCGATGCTAATGTAAACACCGACCATATTACGTCCAAAACAGTCGGGCATTGTTTCTGATAGCAACGTTTCTGATAGGGCCGTGGGTCCACATTTCAGATATTACGTCATATCGGACGCAAATCTGGATCAGCTCCGTTGTTCCCCCGTTTTTAGAGATTTGGGTACGGAGGAAAATAGAGAGGGTTTTATTTTCTGACTCTGCGTGAGTTCCCCGACACACCGGGGACACATGTTGATGTATAAAAGACATCAAAAAGTGCATTTTGCATGATAGGTCCCCTTTAAAATAAATAAAGAACATGTCTCTGAAGTGTTTTGCTCAAAATACCAAACAGATCATTCTAGCCTCAAACTATTTCAGCTGTTACTAAAGTGACGATTCTGGGTCTGTAGCTTAAAAAAAAAAAAAAAGAAGCTCATGCAGGAAAATTCTAGGCTTTTATTTGTCATACGTGCATAGCTACAGTGTAGTTATGTCGATGACAATCTTAGGTCACAGACGCCTCCAACAGTGCAACACAATAAAACAGATAAACAGGAAAAAATAAATTGTAAAATAGTGAAATAGTAAAAGTACAGTCCAGGTACAGGTTAGCTCTGAGTGTTAGCATGCTAATGTAAACACAGACCATATTATTTCCAGAACACGTCTCATTGTTTCTGACAGCAACGCTTCTGATTGGCCCGTGGGTGTAAACCCCGCCCACATTTTAGTAACGTCGTCATGACGCAGCAAATCTGGATCAGCTCCGTTGTTCCCCCGTTTTTAGAGATGTGGGTACGGAGGAGAAGAGAGAGGGTTTGATTTCCTGACACTTTGTGAGTCTCCTGACACACCGGGGACACACCGGGGACACACCGGGGACACACCGGGACACACCGGGGACACACCGGGGACACACCGGGACCACACCGGGGACACACCGGGACACACCGGGGACACACCGGGGACACACCGGGGACACACCGGGGACACACCCGGGGACACACCGGGACACACCGGGGACACACCGGGGACACACCGGGACACACCGGGGACACACCGGGACACACCGGGGACACACCGGGGACACACCGGGGACACACCGGGACACACCGGGGACACACCGGGGACACACCGGGGACACACCGGGGACACACCGGGACACGTAGTGATGTAGAAAAGACATCAAAAAGTGCATTTTGCATGATAGGAGACCTTTAATATTTAAAATTTTATTTTCGCAGTATTTCAACACATCATTTTCATTCCTGCATGTAATAAAAATGTAATAATAACAATAATAAAAAAATAAAAAATCTCAATTGTTGTATGTATATATTTCCTGTCCCTCAGCACCGGTTACTACTCTGAGGGAGACTTCGGCCCCCCCAGGTCTCCCCCTCTCCTCCTCCCTGTGGACCCCCGGGCTGAGAGGGCGTTCGAGGCCCACCCCCCCCCTCCCTCCCGCCGCGACGGGCCCCCCCTAAGCCTAGCCCCCCCCTACCTGGAGGAAGAGGAGGAGGAGGAGGAAGGGTGGAGGCCTGGACCCCCTTTTCCCCCCTTTGAGAGGAGCAGAGGGGGAGGAGCGCCAAGGAGGGTCTACGAGCGTCAGTAACAACGTTTTATTCCACTCTTCTGTAACATAATAATAACAATAATAAACTTGGCAAAAGTACACACATCCTTTACTCAAGTAGAAGTACACACATCCTTTACTCAAGTAGAAGTACAGATACTTGTGTTTAAAAATACTCTGGTGAAAGTAGAAGTACTGACTAAACTTCTTTACTCAAGTCAAAGTAAAGAGGCTTTGAAATGTACTTCAGTAAAAAGTACCCATAACTAGCAGCTGTTTTAAAGAGTACCTGACCTCCCTTTATATTAATAGAACAATAATGTCATTGTTAGCTAATGAATGTTTCCATGCTGAACACATAACATAGTTTATTTGTAACTGTAGTCAGTCTGATGATACATTTAATTGAACTATTAGATATTAATTATTTACCTCCTCCTCCTCTCAGGGCGTTACGAGCCGTACGCCGGTCTGAATGAAGCAGAGGATTGTGGGATACTTCACGGCTGCGAGAACGGCAGGTGTATCCGCGTCGCCGAGGGTTACACCTGCGACTGTTACCAAGGATACGAACTGGACATGACCTCAATGACATGTATAGGTACGCACACGGATACTTATTTAATTTATTTAATTCATTTATTTAATTTATTTATTTAATTTATTTAATTTACTTTATTTATTTTATTTATTTTATTTTATTTATTTATTTTATTTTTCTCTGTTATCTCACCTTTCTAATATTCTTAAGCTATTTTTGTTGAATTTTGTGTGTGTGTGTAGATATAAACGAGTGTGAGGACGGTGGCGTGGACTACCCGTGTGTGAACTCTCGCTGCGTGAACACGGACGGTTCGTTCCGCTGCGTCTGCAGGAGAGGATACGTGATGTCACGCAGACCCAACCACTGCGTCGCCGCGTAGAGCAACGGACCGTAAAGAAACAACAGCACTATACAGAGCTGCAGGACGTCCTATTTTCTGTGTTGGTCCCTGAAGGCAGCATCTCCTCGTGATTCTGGATTATTGCAGAAAATATTTTCAACGCTTATGATACTTACCACGTTTTTTGAAGTAAAAAGCCAACGTTAGGCTATAAAGGAACTACAGCACGGTCACATGACTTCACATCACCACCGCTAAGCTAAAGGTGGCTAATGTTGGGCTATAAAGGAACTAGAGCACGGTCACATGACTTCACATCACCACCGCTAAGCTAAAGGCGCCTAATGTTGGGCTATTAAGGAACTACAGCACGGTCACATGACTTATCTCGTTGAGTTAAAATAAAATCTTATTTGACAATACACAGGGTTTTTTCTAGAACAATATAGTATGAGGGCGCTAACGTCACTTCTGGCTAAATTATGGCCCCGCCCACTTTCCGGTGAAAATACTGCATCAGTCAGATATTGCTCCTCAAACAAATACATCCAGAGTTACGGTTTCTTTATTTCCTCTACAGAAAATCTGCAATTTGGTAGAGGGTGCAGACTAAACCCTGGATACCGTTATCAATTGTGTCTTTACATTTCCCAGACACCCCACTATATATAAACATTAAAATCCAATTGAATCAATGTAACCTGATATTTCTTATTGCAATTTAAGTTACAATTCAAAATCGAAATATAAATATAATTGTTTGTAAATGTACAGCATCATATCAACAAGTCATTACTGCACACATCACAGAGGGGACACATGTTGATGAAGAGGAGACATGAAGAAGAGGGGACACATGTTGATGAAGAGGAGACATGAAGAAGAGGGGACACATGTTGATGTAGAAGAGACATGAAGAAGAGGGGACACATGTTGATGAAGAAGAGGGGACACATGTTGATGAAGAAGAGACATGAAGAAGAGGGGACACATGTTGATGTAGAAGAGACATGAAGAAGAGGGGACACATGTTGATGTAGAAGAGACATGAAGAAGAGGGGACACATGTTGATGTAGAAGAGACATGAAGAAGAGGGGACACATGTTGATGAAGAAGAGACATGAAGAAGAGGGGACACATGTTGATGAAGAAGAGACATGAAGAAGAGGGGACACATGTTGATGTAGAAGAGACATGAAGAAGAGGGGACACATGTTGATGTAGAAGAGACATGAAGAGGATTATAAATAATAGGAGACTGTAACCAAATCTAGGGGTACCAAGGGAAGTAACAAAACACAACGTTGATCAGGCACGAGAAAAAGAGAGGAAACCGTTCTCTTGAGTCACGAACAGGCCTTTTAATAGTCAAGAAAAGAACACGGGCTGCTCACCAGCTAACTTGCACATTAAACTAGTGTCCCATATCCAGGAGCACATCTCTTATTGACCTACAGAACACAGGTTGTACGCATGCAGCCAGAGGAGGAGAAATGGGCAATCACTGCAGTCTTCCTCCGGTCCTATATGGAGGCCCTGATTGGGAATTTGGAGCACCTGGGGAGAGGCTGCACCTGGGGAGAGGCTGCACCTGGGGAGAGGCTGCACCTGGGGAGAGGCTGCACCTGGGGACAATCAGGCTGCACCTGGGGAGAGGCTGCACCTGGGGAGAGGCTGCACCTGGGGACAATCAGGCTGCACCTGGGGAGAGGCTGCACCTGGGGAGAGGCTGCACCTGGGGACAATCAGGCTGCACCTGGGGAGAGGCTGCACCTGGGGAGAGGCTGCACCTGGGGAGAGGCTGCACCTGGGGACAATCAGGCTGCACCTGGGGAATCAGAGGGAGAGAGAGAAAGACACACACACACTACGGCACGTAACACCCCCCCCCATAAAACCAAACAAGTGTTTGGCCACAGTTACCAAAAACACTCAGACTATTGGACATGAATCGTGAAATCTCACCCACGGGACAGAACATCGGCCACCACATTATCCGCTCCCCTCTTGTGCTTGATGACGATATCGTAGTCTGGGTGCTGGTCTTTTGACTTTTCCGTAGACTGCTTGGAAGCTGCCACCTGCTGCTTCCAAGCTACACACCCTGCCACTAGATGACCAGGATCAAGACAAAAGAAACATAATCTCTTGAGACCTCGAGTTCTGGTCAAAACACAACCTGCAAACACCTCCGGATGAGTCTGAGCTAGGTCACCACCTGCAGCACCAGGGATTGAAACGTCTACAACCTCAGCAGTAGGATACACTTTACCCCCGGCTATATCGTTACCCATTATGAAATCCACTCGACAGGAAACTTGGGCAGCACAGCAACTGGAAAGAAACCAGTAGCCAGTTTAGACTGTACCTGGATCTTGTGAAGAGGTGCAGGCACACAACCCATCCCAATACCTCTTACCACCGCACTTGCCTCACAGGCAGACTCAGCACTCAAGGGCAGGACACTGGCAAGAATGAACGACTGTGAGCCACCACTGTCTCGTAACACCGTGACCTGCCGCTGGTCCTCCACCTTTCCTGACAGAGAGACAAAAGCAGTAGAGATGAACGGTTTCAAACACTCATCAGGCCCTTTGTTAACAGTGGCCCGTCCACTATGACACACTGCTGTAACCAATCCCACCCCTTCTGGGTGCTTGCCAGCCGCTGTCTGCTCTCGCTTCCAACCTGCACAGTCTATCACATGACCTGGGTCATGACAAAAAAAACAAGCTCTGTTTAGCCTGGGATCTAACACTGGAGCACTGGCACAGGGAACGTAATTGTCAGGAGCTCTACGATAAGTGTCTCGCTGAGGAGGATCACGCTGAAAAAAAACGCTCTTGTGTATCAGTGCAAACTCGTCTGCCAGAGTGGCAGCCTGCTGAAGGGTAGCCACTTTTTGCTCGTTCAGATAGACTACCGTACGCTCAGGCACACAGTTCTTAAACTCCTCTAACATCACTAGCTCACACACTGAAGTAATGTCGTCAGCTTTACAAGCTCTACACCACCTGTCAAAGAGGACTTTCTTCTCCCTCGCAAAGTCCACAGGTTTGGCCAGAAGTTTTCATCAGGCCGCAAAAACGCTGCCTGATGGCCTCAGGCACAAGCTCATATGCCCTGAGAACAGCACCTTTAACATTCTCATACACTAAACTATCCTCGACAGAAAGAGAAGAGCAAGCCTCTTGAGCCTTGCCGACTAGCTTACACTGTAAAAGAATAGCCCACACGTCTTCTGGCCAGCGCAGAGCAGCAGCAATGCGCTCAAATGCACCAAAATAGATCTCCACTTCTGATTCACGAAACACAGGGACCAAAGAAATATGCCTACTCACGTCGAAGGAGGCAGCAGGACCAGAAGGTGTAACGGCAGAATCACCCCCCCCCCCAGCTGCCTGAAGCTCTAACTGACGCATCCGGACAGCAGTGTCTGCCTCCAATTTCCTGATCTCCAGCTCCGACTTCCTGATCTCCAGCTCCCTCCTGAGCTGAAAATCCCTATCACGCTCCTCCTTCTCCCACTGGAGACGAGCCATACGCACTTTTACCCTGGCATCTAATTTAGACCCCGTAGGTGAGGACCCTGCCGAAAACAAGTCAAACTGAGGCATGGTGAAAAGTGTTGCCTGTTCCGTAGCACTCTGAACACCTGGAGTAACACCACCATGAGATACTGCTGCTACAGCCCCGGCCACCGTGCCAGGAGATTCCACTAAAATAGGCAGACTCAAAACCCCCTGTTCAACTAGTCCAGTTATCAAAGTAGCCTTGAGTTCACTTTTAACAAGAGCAGAGGAGACAGAAACGTGATAATGGTCAGCAACTAACCGCAAATCAACCTTCCTACACCAGTCTAGCTGACCCACAGTAGGACTGGCCACAAACTGCTCAAAAACAAAAGCCATCCTTAGCAACGGCTACTTACAATTTTTTTTTTTTTTAACAAACTTCCCCAGATCCTGCCTACCAAACTTACCTAACTATCTTCTGGAGCGTGCCGGGCTCGAGGCGACTTTAAAGGCAAACATCAGCGGCCGAAACCCTGAAACGCCTGCCCCCAACAGGGAATAAATCCCCACCCAGGATTACCCCGAAAATAAAAAATGAGTGCCTGAAGGAAAGCCTGAGCCCAGCTAGACACTCCCCTGTCTAAACTGAGGAAGCTTTTAAACAGTAAGATACTTCACAGCCAATGCTACCAAACACAATATCAACGCTAAACCACAAACAGATACACAGAAACACTCTTTGTCTCAAAGATCCCGGACGAGCCCCCATTTGTTACGTTCCCTCCAAATCTAGGGGTACCAAGGGAAGTAACAAAACACAACGTTGACCAGGCACGAGAAAAAAGAGAGGAAAGCGTTCTCTGGAGTCACGAACTGGCCTTTTAATAGTCAAGAAAAGAACACGGGCTGCTCACCAGCTAACTTGCACATTAAACTAGTGTCCCATATCCAGGAGCACATCTCTTATTGACCTACAGAACACAGGTTGTACGCATGCAGCCAGAGGAGGAGAAATGGGCAATCACTGCAGTCTTCCTCCGGTCCTATATGGAGGCCCTGATTGGGAATTTGGAGCACCTGGGGAGAGGCTGCACCTGGGGAGAGGCTGCACCTGGGGAGAGGCTGCACCTGGGGAGAGGCTGCACCTGGGGACAATCAGGCTGCACCTGGGGAGAGGCTGCACCTGGGGAGAGGCCGCACCTGGGGAGAGGCTGCACCTGGGGACAATCAGGCTGCACCTGGGGAGAGGCTGCACCTGGGGACAATCAGGCTGCACCTGGGGAATCAGAGGGAGAGAGAGAAAGACACACACACACGCACACACACACTACGGCACGTAACAGAGACCTTTAAGTAAAAGTACCAAAGTATTAGCATCAAGTTGTACTTCGAGTATCAAAAGTATTATATTGTTATTGCTATTCTTTATCTGTTTTTAAGAGATTTTTGGATTGTAGTATTCTGTCAGTCGACCAGGTTTAGATCCTAGAAACACGTGAAGTCCTGCATTAAATCATGTCATGTGTTTTTATATATAGGGGACACATGTTGATGTAGAAGAGACTTGAAGAAGTGCATTTTGCATAATAGGTGACCTTTAAAACAAAAAAACTAAACCATACATTTGAGTTTGTATCAGTAGGTTTGTTCTGCACATGAGATTTATTGATGATAAAAGAACTACAGAATCATTTCCTGTCTTTTCTTAATATGTGTTTGCAGCTGCAGCTTGCCCTCCTGAATGTACAGGAAGCTGCTTTATGTATATAATAATTTCCTCCACCCTATACTGTCACCAAATGAATACCGCCTGATTGTGTTTTTATGTGTTCTTAATATAACTTTCTGACGTTTTAATTTCACCTGAAGTCTGATGTATAACATGCACTGTATCTGCCAGAGTTACACAGAATATTTTGTACATTTTTTAAATTTAATCTCTGCTGTTTAAAAATTGTTAATTTTTATGATTCACTTTTTTATCATTGTTGTTTGTACGACAAGAAATGAAAAATATATTTGCACAAACTTTTATTGAACCCGTGTCCGTGTCGTTCAGTTGAAATGGTTTTATTATTTTTTCCTTTATGTGCTTCAACAGTTTGAAGCAAGTTATATATTTAAAGCGGCCGTATTCTGAAAAAAAAGGCCAGAATATAAAGTTCAGAAATAAGAGTCAGAATTCTGAGAAAAAATCTAAAATTTCTGTAAAAGAAGTGAGAATTCGTAATTCTGAAAACAAAGGCAGAATTTTCTGAAAAAAGTCGGAATGTTAGAAAGAACTTTGAGAAACAAATTTAAAATGTTTGAAAGAAAAAAGTCAGAATTAGGATTTTGAGGAAAAAAAGTCAGAATTCTCTGAAAACAGTCTGAATGTTAGAATGGGGGAAAAAATTATTCATAATTTTTTAGGTAAAACTCAAATGTTGGATTCCGGATAAAAAGTCAGAATTCATAATATTGACAAAAAATTCAGAATATGGAATTTTTTAAAACTCTTTTGTCAGAATTCGGAATTTTGACAAAAAATAGTCACTATTTGGATTCCTGAAAAAAATTGTCAGAATTTGGTAAAAAATAATAATTCTCTGAAAAAATCGGAATGTTTTTTTTTGAGAAATTGGTTATTTTGAAAAAAAAAATCAGAATTCTAAAGAAAAAGTATAAATTTCGGTCTTCTGGATGAGTCAGTTCAGGTAAACTTTAATCTATGCCAGACAGGCTACACTATGTTCAGGCTGCAGACACACAGACTAATACTGCTTATTTGTTTTTGAATAATTTATGTGATTTGAGGAACGGATATGAAAGGAAGTGAATCATATTTATCAGCACAAAATTGCATCTGAAAACTCAGCCTAGTTTTCAGCCTCTGTGTGGAGTGTGCTGCAGCTAATGAGACGATAACTTCAGCAAAGCCGCTTCAACATGTCACTGCAACGCACGTTCAAACCATAAACACAGTGCTCTGAATCACACCCGGCAGCATATTAGATATTATATTAAATATTGATGAACGAGCTGTCGTACAGCGCTTATAAAGCTATCACTGAGTGGAAGTATAACTCAATTTACTGCAGCGGCACGTTAACATATTCTGATTCATCACACAGTTAGATCCAGAGAGGACTCTTTAAAGTAGAGACACTACATACTGATATACACCTGAACATCAGCAGGAGAGGACTCTTTAAAGTAGAGACACTACATACTGATATACACCTGAACATCAGCAGGAGAGGACTCTTTAAAGTAGAGACACTACATACTGATATACACCTGGACATCAGCAGGAGAGGACTCTTTAAAGTAGAGACACTACATACTGATATACACCTGAACATCAGCAGGAGAGGACTCTTTAAAGTAGAGACACTACATACTGATATACACCTGAACATCAGCAGGATGAGGACTCTTTAAAGTAGAGACACTACATACTGATATACACCTGAACATCAGCAGGAGAGGACTCTTTAAAGTAGAGACACTACATACTGATATACACCCTGAACATCAGCAGGAGAGGACTCTTTAAAGTAGAGACACTACATACTGATATACACCTGGACATCAGCAGGAGAGGACTCTTTAAAGTAGAGACACTACATACTGATATAGACCTGAACATCAGCAGGAGAGGACTCTTTAAAGTAGAGGACACTACATACTGATATACACCTGAACATCATCCAGAGCGACTCTTTAAAGTAGAGACACTACATACTGATATACACCTGGACATCAGCAGGAGAGGACTCTTTAAAGTAGAGACACTACATACTGATATACACCTGGACATCAGCAGGAGAGGACTCTTTAAAGTAGAGACACTACATACTGATATACACCTGAACATCAGCAGGAGAGGACTCTTTAAAGTAGAGACACTACATACTGATATAGACCTGAACATCAGCAGGAGAGGACTCTTAAAGTAGAGACACTACATACTGATATACACCTGAACATCAGCAGGAGAGGACTCTTTAAAGTAGAGACACTACATACTGATATACACCCTGAACATCAGCAGGAGAGAACTCTTTAAAGTAGAGACACTACATACTGATATTACACCTGAACATCAGCAGGAGAGGACTCTTTAAAGTAGAGACACTACATACTGATATACACCTGAACATATAACACATTCACCATATCTTAACACACACTCCTCTTTTACATGTTTTTGGGAATGCTCTGATTCTATATTAGTCTTGCAGAGTGTTGGAAGATCCTTTACTACGGTAAAAGTACAAATACTATGGTCTTAAATACTCTACTGGAAGTAAAAGGCATGAATACAAAATGAAGGTAATGTTATCAAGACAAGTACAGAAGTATTACCAGTTAAAAGTCACCTATCATGCTATTTGTATGCAATAGCATATGTCTCAGATATATACAAATATATAAAAAACATGTCTACGAAGTGTTTTGCTCAAAATACCCAAACAGACCACTAGCCATGCCTCATATTCCTCTATTTCACTTCCTGTTTCAAAAGTGATGATTTGAAGTATAAAGCTTTAAAAAATAAAAATTTGATGAAAAAAAAGGAGGGGTCTGAGCTCATGCGGGACCCCGGCAGCTATCTGTCTAAACTAAATGCTGCCGTGATGAAACACCATATCATGGATTATCAAGGATTGTCTCTGGAAACAGTATGGAGCTCAAAGGCTTTCTCTCTTGCCGGTTATACCACAAGGTGAGTTCCTTTTTATTCCCTGCTTCTTCACACACATGCTCTCCAGTACAGGTTAGCTCTGAGTGTTAGCGATGCTAATGTAAACACCGACCATATTACGTCCAAAACAGTCGGGCATTGTTTCTGATAGCAACGTCTCTGATAGGGCCGTGGGTCCACATTTCAGATATGACGTCATATCGGAACGCAAATCTGGATCAGCTCCGTTGTTCCCCCCGTTTTTTAGAGATTTGGGTACGGAGGAAAAGAGAGAGGGTTTTATTTTCTGACGCTGCGTGAGTTCCCCGACACACCGGGGACACATGTTGATGTATAAGAGACATCAAAAAGTGCATTTTGCATGATAGGTCCCCTTTAAATATACTTCAAGTAGATAGATAGATAAAGAAGTACTTTATTGATCCCAATTTGGGAAATGCTTGTGTTGCAGCAGCATAAAAAGACAGGCATTGTACAATAAAAATATAAGACAAGAAATAAACAAGAAAGTAGAAAAATATACATGTTGAATTTAACAAGGTATTATCTATACATAAATATATGACAGATGGGAATATTAAATATTGAACAGTATCAAAAGTAAAAGTATTTGACATTTGAATTAATATGTTCACAGTATTATATTATTATGGTTATAATGATATCCTGTTTTTATACATTTAAGAGCATTTCAG